AGACGCCGCGGACCAAGGCCGGGGGGGAAGCCGGCAGCGGGACAGCCCAGATGCGCCGCGGCTGTCCCGCTGCGGGCGTCCTCAGAGGCTTTGCTCCCGGTGCCCTTGGTCTGCTGGGGACCGTCTCCAGCAGACCAGGGACACCGGGAGCAAAGCTGGGGAGGCGGAGGGGCGCTGGGGCGCTGCCGGTTGGCCTCTTAAGGCGGGGTACTCTTATACGGCGAGTATAAGACGAAAACCTATCTTTTAACTAATAAATTAGGGGGTCGTCTTATACACCCAGCCGCCTTATACGCCGGAAAATATGGTAATATCGGGAAATGAAATAGATAAATTTTTTATAGGAACCCATTTGTTACAGGTCTGAGTGTTGTTAAATGATCTTGGTTTTAGTACTGGTTTTAAAAATATCCATCACTATTTCTATCTGTGATCAGGTGTATGGTCACACACTGGCAGAGATCTTTTTTTTGAAACAGCAATATGGAGAAGAAACATGGAAGTGTTTGTGCTCCAAAGCAACTCGAAGGGGACAGTTAAGAGAGAGCTCAGAGGTTATTTGGGTTGAGTAGAGGAAAGTTTGCTTTTCACTGAAACGCTGCCAGTTACTGAGGTTGATGGCTCATGTCCATCTACCCATGAATACACATGTCCTCTATGGAAGTGAAGGGTCATACCATGCTTGTTTTGCACTGGGATTAAGGACATGCAAAATTATGGCTCAGGCCACTACCAGAAGAGTAGGATTTGAAAGACTTTTCAGAAAAGAATCAGAGAAAGTCAGGGCAGTATGAGCTGCTGCAGTTCTGGTAACACAGAACAAATAGATAATGGGGTGGGAGTGGAAGACACAGCAGTGATGAACACAGTACCCGACTGGAGCATTTACCCTCCCACTCCAAAAACATTCCTGTTTGACCCAGGAAAAGAGGAAGGTAGCCAGTGGGCACTATTTCCCAGCATCACAAAGCAAAAATGCTCACCCCCCAGAGCAAGGAGCTCTGTTAGTTCTTTCTAGCACAGGGGTGGGCAAAAGGGCCTCTGCGGACCAATCCAGCCTGCCAAGAGGGTGGATCTGGCCTGCAGAGGCCCTGTTGCTCCCCAGGCCAATTAGAGCCTGGGGAGGGGGAGCGCCCGAAGCCTTCTCCGCTCTGCCCCCACCCTGTGAGCAGCTTCAAAGCGCTGTGTGCTGAGAGCATGGTGGGGGCAGAGTGGAGAAGGCTTCACGTGCTCTCCCGCCCCCAGGCTTTAATTGGCCTGGGGGCAGGGGAATGCGTGAAGCCTCCTCCTGCCCTGCCAGGAGCACGGGGGGGGGGGGGGGGGGGGGGGGGGGGGGAGCCAGTAAACGCAGGAAGCCAGCTTCCAAGCTGGCTGCTTGTGCATATCAACTTCCACAGAGCTA